AGATCAGAAGCATTACTGCTAATGCAAACTTGCTCGTTACTTTTATGAAGAATCAATTTGCAAAGCCGGATGGCAATATTCTAGAAAAAGAATATTTGTACTAAAATTCTATCAGCATGCAGGATGAAGTTAAGCATTTCCTTCCCCAACTACACAACAAACAAAATACCAATACTTCTACAGTCAGTCTGATCCCAGGTCTGGTCAAGTGGGATTTGTGGTGGACAAAGTTCTGCTGGGGCAGGTTTTCTCAAGAGTACTTCAGTTTCCCTTGCCAATCTTCATTCCACCAATTGCTCCACAATCACCCTCACCTATCATCTGGGGCTGGTACAATAGGCCAGAAATGGCCACACTACAAGCGACCCACTAGCAATAAAATAACTTCTACAATCTGTCCAACGTTTATTCCAATCTGATAATCTAAAACTGAAAATTAAGAACATGCGAACACCTACACAGAACCTTGCATGTTATATATTTAGATAATGTAATGTAATGGTGTGATGAAAGCTCTGGAATTATGAAATTTCATATTACAATACCATTGAATTGAGCAATTACACTTTTTCAAAGATGTTTATAAAATCCTGACAATATTGACCACAGCATTGGTAACAGGATTATTAACAAATGTGGCACAGTTGGTGTAATGAGAATTCATTCAAACCCACCAAAGTGCCACTCTATCCATAAATTCCATATGCCCTGATCCAGTGGGGCATAGTATGTTTACTGGCCACTTTACAATCCCACTAACACCCATCAGCCTCATGATCAGACTTGCCAAAATCTGTTCTCTTGCTGCTCCTACTATAGAACTACATATCAGGGTCAGCTCTAAGTCAATGAATCAGCATGGATCAGATCTATTGGCACTAAGGTTTTATAATATAGCGTAACTAGATGGAAGAAGAATAACACACAATCATAGCAAATCTTTCAGTAAACACTAATTTTATTTATATATTTAATTTCATTTAACACATTCATTCGTAACTCGGCAAACTGGTTAACGTCATGGTCATCTATCGTCGTTGGATTACATTGGCCAAGAACACTTGGTCTCAATCATGAGTTTTGTTACCTCAGCAGGATCATAGTTGTCCATGTTCTGGCTTATTTGCCTCGTTCCAATAGAGTAATCTGCCCTATAAGGAAAGATCACAAGCAATTTCCACATGATCCGATCTTCACAACCACTGTTGCAAATACTGAGCTGTACTCACAAAACTCCCTCGTTGGTGTCTCCACCTTATTGTGGTGAGGGGGTTTGAGTATGCCAAGGACCCTGAGAGCTATACCAGCGGTAGCGTAGCTACTGGCAGGGCCTCCCTTGCTGGACAGGTCAAAGGGTAGGCATCAGACGAAGAGAGACACCAAAAACTGATGCCGGAAGCAGCGTCATCAGTAGCGACTTGAAGCACAGAGCAAATGATGCTCGAGATGGTTCAAGTTCGTATAGCAGCAGGCGTGACCAGAGTGGTTTGAACGGCTGCTGTACTGCGATGTGGAAAGCAAATGGAAAAACTACCACATTATCACTTTTCCTGGATAGTCTCTTTCCAAAAACAGAGATACCATATATGCGAGATGTTTCCTCTGGAGGCAAAACAATCCGGAGGTAAACTACTCCCCCAATCGGATCTCCGGGGGGGAGTGTTTCTAGAGGAAATGTCATGCAGGCGTTACAACAAGAAAAAGTGCGAAGATCAGAAGAAACAGCATGGATACAAGATTGGAACATGGAATGTCAGGACCTTGAATCAAGCAGGAAAATTGGAGAATTTGAAAACGGAAATGCAGAAGAATGAAGTGTCTGTGCTAGGTGTCAGCGAAGTGCGGTGGAAAGGACAAGGTGAAATAAGAAGCGGTGATTATACAGTGTATTATTCCGGAGGTGAACGGGCTGAAAGAGGTGTGGCAATAGTGGTGCATAAAAGTGTAGTGAGGAGTGTTGTTAAGAAGATTGCTTGTAATGACAGAATTATTGCTCTGAAGTTAAAGGCGGAACCGGTAGATATACTGATTATACAAGTGTACATGCCAACATCAGAGTATGAAGATGATGAAGTGGAAAAAGTGTATGACACAATTGAAGAAATTCTTCAGGAAGATGGAAGAGGAGACACAAACAGCATCATATTGGGAGACTGGAACAGCATTGTTGGAGATGAACCATATCAGAATATTGTTGGATCACATGGACTAGGAAGACGGAATCACAGAGGTCAAATGCTTATTGACTTTTGTGAACGAAATGGATTGATTGTTACCAACACTTGGTTCAAGAAGCCAAAGAGAAGAATTTACACATGGAAGGCACCTGGGGATTGGAAGAGGCATCAGCTGGACTACATCCTTGTGAAACATCGATTCAGAAACAGTGTGAAGGATGTGAAGACGCTTCCTGGGGCAGACATTGACTCTGACCACAACTTGCTGGTTGCCAAGTTCCGAACCAGGTTGAAGAAAATTATAGGATTTCGAAAGCGCAGACCCAGATGGGATTTGGAGAAGTTATATGCTCAAAGACAAAGCGTGCAAGAGACTCTAGAAGAGAAACTCGGTGCAATTGAAGGTGAAAGCGGAAATGCTGAAGCGCAGTGGAACGATATAAAAGAATGCATGTTAGATACTATCAGTGATTTGGTAGGTAAAGTTGAGAAGATAGCAAGAAAACCATGGGTTACACAGGAGATGATGAGTAAAATGGAGGAGCGAAGGAAATGGAAGAATGTCAACAATGAAGAAGGCAGGAGGAAATACAGGAGACTGAGGAATGAATTGAAAAGAGCCACGGACAGGGCCAAAAAGGAATATCTTGAGAAGATATGTAATGAGATTATGGAATTTCAAAGAACAGGCCGTTATGATTTGATGTACATGAAGACAAAAGAACTAGGATGGAAAGAGAATCATGGGATTCAAAATGTTGGCATCGAAGACTCCCAGGGGAATAGAATAGTAGATCAGAGGCAAGTGCTGAAAATTTGGGAAAATTATATTTCAGAACTATATGATCGACCTAATCGGCCAGAAACCTTAGAAGTTGAACCGGAAGAAGAAGTAGATACAGACGAGAAAGGACCATATATTTTACAAAGTGAGGTGGAAAAAGCTATCAAGGAAATGAGGAAGGGAAAGGCTACAGGAGATGATGATGTACCTGGAGATGTGCTCAAGTTACTGGGAGAAGGTGGTTTGAAAACACTGACAAAACTAATGAACACCATATATGAAAGTGGAGAGTGGCCCAAGGACTTTACAGAAGTTACAATGATTGCCTTAAAGAAAAAGACAAAAGCTACAAAATGCAGCGACCATCGCACAATAAGTCTTATTGCACATACAGCAAAGATAATAGCAAAGATACTTAAAAGAAGAATTGAAAGGAAAATAGAGGATGTACTTGGAGAAGATCAGTTTGGATTTAGAAGAGGAAAAGGAACCAGGGATGCAATTGGGATGATGAGAATTATAGCGGAACGAACTTTGGAGATAGATGAAGAACTGTGTGTTTGCTTCATAGACTGGCAGAAGGCATTTGACCGGGTAAACTGGACCAAATTAATGCAGATCCTGAAAGAAACAGGTATCGATTGGCATGAAAGAAGATTGATTAGCAAATTGTACATGGATCAGAAAGTTAGAGTACGACTGGACAGGGGGGAGACAGGAAGTGTGCAGATTGGAAGAGGAGTTCGACAAGGATGCTGTTTATCACCAATTCTGTTCAACTTGTACAGCGAATGCCTTACCAAGGAAGCTCTGGATGGGCTCGGTGACTTCAAAGTAGGAGGGCAAATTATTCAAACTGTGAAATATGCAGATGACCTTGTGTTAATGGCTAAGGAAGAAACTGTGCTACAGGGCATGATTGATAGACTAATTGAAATTGGAAGGTGCTATGGCATGGAAATGAATGTGGAGAAAACAAAAGTAATGAAAATTTCGAGACAACCAACCCCAGTCACAATAAAGATAGACCAAAAACAAGTGGAGAATGTGAAATGTTTTAAATATTTGGGTAGCTTGTTAACAGATGATGGAAGGTGTACTTGTGAAATTAAATCCAGGATTGCCATGGCAAAAGCTGCATTTAGCAAGAAGAAGAATCTTTTTACCAGCAAATTGGACTTAAATTTGAGGAAGAAACTAGTGAAATGCTACATTTGGAGCATAGCTCTGTATGGGGCTGAAACATGGACACTTAGGGCAGTAGATCAGAAACATCTGGAAAGTTTCGAAATGTGGTGTTGGAGAAGAATGGAGAAGATCAGTTGGACCGATTATGTGAGAAATGAAGAAGTGTTAATTAGAGTCAGTGAGCAGAGGAATATCCTACATGAAATAAGAAAACGGAAGGCTAATTGGATTGGTCATGTTTTACGCAGAAACTGCCTTCTAAAAGAAGCTATCGAAGGAAAGATAGATGGGCGGATAGAAGTGACAAGAAGACGAGGAAGAAGATGCTGGATGACCTTGGGGACAGAAGAGGATACTGTCATTTGAAGAAGAAAGCTCTAGATCGCATTAGGTGGAGGAATTGTTTTGAAGGAGACTGTGGACCTGTCGTCTTGACAGATTACTGATGATGATGATGACTCACAAAAAAAGTAAAGTTGTCACTGCACACCATGCAGGCATATGCAAGAGTGAATATAGAGATCCACGTTTTTCTTGACCTCAGCACTTAACTAGCGAAGAGCAGAAACCAAAATGTGTATGTAATGTACATCCCATGCTATAATCTTTACTTATGACCTATTTTTGATAAATCATTACATTAAAAGTTATGACTGCACAGAAAGTAAACTCTGAAAGCTATATCTTTAAGCACGTCACTCTCCTCGGTAAATCTTATAAAGGCCTTAATTTAAACAAAGTACAAACATATGCAGCTGTGCTGATATGAGATTGTGCCTTTAATGCACAATAAAGGGAAACAGGACATTGGTGCATAAATCCAAATGATCAGGACTAAAAGATAAAAATCATTACAGCATGTAACACACTATTAATTTTATTTCATCTCATATTACAGCAAGATGCAACAAAAGTTACTGTGCACTTGTTTCTTCTTTGACACGATCTTTCTTAAGCTGACCCATGAATGCTGCCTTATCAGCTGCGGTCTGGAAACGACCGTGACCAAACTTTGAAGATGTATCAATGAATTTGAGTTTGATATTTTCAAGTGCCTTCCTCTTCGTGTGAACAAGTAGAGACTGCAGGGGGAAAACAAAATTAAAACCAGGACAAGACTTCATTTCATTAGACGTGTAGAAATATATGCTACCTCAGTTCTATCATTGAACAACACATGTATCTTCAGAATCCTTTTGGCTCTAGAGAAGTCATCACCAGTAGCATTCATGTACGAATATGTAATTACACAAACAATACTGAAATTTCTTTTTACCTTGCGCATACAGATAACTCTCTTCTTGGGGCCCATAACACATCCCTTCAACATCACATAATCATTATTGACCTCACCATAATGAGGGAAGCCTCCCATTGGTGTGATTGTCTTCTCTGTGAGATCATATTCTGTAGAGGCATTGTTCCTCACAACCTGAAAAGGAACTCACTGCACATAGGCCACGGAAAAGTGGATGACAGCACTCAAAAGATTTCCTCCTTTCTGCTTGCTGTAGTTCAAAACATATCCTGTTTACTGCATTTTACTTTCTGTAATTTATCAGTGTTTTCTTTGTACAATGTCTTACACGTTATAATTTAACATTGGGCAAACCAATTTTCTCAACTCCTGGATAATCCACTCCCCCATTAATTGGCAATCTAATGCATTTGAACCTTAAATAATAATTCATGGCAAAAATGAGATTTCCTATAATATTCAAGTTAACTGAGTAACACGCCGAACAGAATGTGGATATAACATTTCTAACTAATAAAAGTTTTAATTACCAAGACAAGTCAGCTAGGCCTTTGAATCGATGCCCAGTATCATATTCAGCTTAGGGACAAAAACAAAAGAATTTCTAGTGTCAAAGACTGATCTTTTGTTAATGAACCAACATTTTTATTAAACTGAACATAAGTTATTTAATGAACCAACATTTTTATTAAACTGAACATAAGTTATTTAATGAACCAACATTTTTATTAAACTGAACATAAGTTATTTAATGAACCAACATTTTTATTAAACTGAACATAAGTTATTTAATGAACCAACATTTTTATTAAACTGAACATAAGTTATTTAATGAACCAACATTTTTATTAAACTGAACATAAGTTATTTAATGAACCAACATTTTTATTAAACTGAACATAAGTTATTTAATGAACCAACATTTTTATTAAACTGAACATAAGTTATTTAATGAACCAACATTTTTATTAAACTGAACATAAGTTATTTAATGAACCAACATTTTTATTAAACTGAACATAAGTTATTTAATGAACCAACATTTTTATTAAACTGAACATAAGTTATTTAATGAACCAACATTTTTATTAAACTGAACATAAGTTATTTAATGAACCAACATTTTTATTAAACTGAACATAAGTTATTTAATGAACCAACATTTTTATTAAACTGAACATAAGTTATTTAATGAACCAACATTTTTATTAAACTGAACATAAGTTATTTAATGAACCAACATTTTTATTAAACTGAACATAAGTTATTTAATGAACCAACATTTTTATTAAACTGAACATAAGTTATTTAATGAACCAACATTTTTATTAAACTGAACATAAGTTATTTAATGAACCAACATTTTTATTAAACTGAACATAAGTTATTTAATGAACCAACATTTTTATTAAACTGAACATAAGTTATTTAATGAACCAACATTTTTATTAAACTGAACATAAGTTATTTAATGAACCAACATTTTTATTAAACTGAACATAAGTTATTTAATGAACCAACATTTTTATTAAACTGAACATAAGTTATTTAATGAACCAACATTTTTATTAAACTGAACATAAGTTATTTAATGAACCAACATTTTTATTAAACTGAACATAAGTTATTTAACTTGTTAGCCAATACACCTTTTGAAGATGTAAATGCTCAACACAGGTACCAGAATGGCTTATAAATCTATTAGGCATGTAAATACGCTTAAATCACAGTATTAGGAAAAAGTCCAAGTTTGAAACAAATAAAGCAGACATCTTGAATATGTGAAGCTCCAAGAGCACTGAGACCAAAGTTCACTCCACTTCACACCGTAGGGAAAGGACATGGCTTACATTCCTTTACACCTAGAAACTGAAACCTGCCTGACCCAATTTGCAACCATGAAAGGTAACCTAAACCTCATCAGTAAACCAGATTCAGAATATTAATGCCAACATGAACAATTACACACTATAACGACTTCAATTTATTTCCCTTTCTCGGTGCAGAGGGGAATATAGTGCACTTGAGGGGGAACAGGTCAATCCATGAACATTTAACCATGGCCTCCATTAGTAACAAGCCAAAAACTTCTGCATTTGAACTGTTGCACAATTTAACAGATCTTAAAGGCCAATCGCCACACTGAACTATTTTAGGCATGAAGACTACACAGATGAAACCAATTTTCAAGGACAAGAAAGCACATTCTTGGAATGAAGTTACACAGCAATGTCCAGAAAATTTATCACTCTTACAAGCGATACCTGACGTTCCACCAATTCTTGGAATTTCGTTTGCCAAACCTGGACTAGCTGGCAGCAATCACTGTACCAGACATATTAACCTCAGCTATAAGATTGCAAAGGACAGCACACACAACTGGGATATGATACTGCACAGTCTGCCAGAAGATTACCAGTGTTTCAGAGAAATGTGATACCTCCATCTTTCAGCTCGAAGAATACCTCACACAAGGAGAGCAACTGCTTTCCTGCACTGCTCACTCTTCAGTCATGAAAAGTGAGGCAGTACATTCCCTTGAAACAATGACGAACTTCTGTCTGGCTACATGGCAGCCCTATTCATGGCCGAGAATCAAAAACCTTGCAATACATGCACCTTGCCACGCTTCCATAGACACCCAACTCCCAAGTCTGAGACAATAGACATTGGCTTTAACCTTTAACGGCCGAATGTTATAATTATTCGCATCAAGTAGCACCCCGAGCTGGCCGAATGTTATAATTTTTAGGGACAAGCCACATGCTTCCTTTGTGAGTGCTGGCAGTTTGACCTTGGGTTTGAAACCCAAACAAACTCATGAACGTTCATGTCAGATGTTTGTTAGCTCTGAACAATGAAATCGTTTATCAGGGTACTGGTTTCGAAACTATTTACGTTTAGATATGACTGTTTATGACCTGGTGAGCCAATAGAGGTCAGCTTTGTTTTGAGAAGTTAGAGGAGGAAATATTCGTAAGCACTTTCATAGCAGTGCTGACAGAGCTTTCAAGGAAGTGTGGCTCATTCAGGGATTGGTTTGCAGTGTTGAATTCTCAGTTAGGACGTCAGTGGCGGATTTACTATATTTTGTTAAAAGTTAGGAAGTCAGTGTCAGACTCCTGTATTTCTTTTATATCATTTTTATTGTGTATCTCGGAAGTGGTATAAATACACTGAGCCAGTGTTACTTTGTGCGTAAAGACATCTTCGTCACTGTGACTTTCGGTATCAGTGGCGGACTGGCACTTTTCGACTGCTATTGCAATTACTTTGCATCACAATTTTGCGAGTATTCTTCCACCTACTAGACATGTCTGTTCTCAATGAATATCTGTTACACAAGTCATGTGATGGAAAAATGACGCACAAAAATTTCCGCGAAATTTTGGTGCGTGATTTGATTCTTCAATCACATGAGGCGAATATCACGGTCAGTGGTGTTTTTCGAGGGAGGCCAAGTTCATCTGGGGCCCAACTGAGTCGACTGGAGGTGAAACATTCAAAACACTGACCAGCTAAAGGGAAACAAAGACGTTTGTTCTATAAACAAGAAAAGCGGGAGCACGCTTTACCGCTGTAGAGTGTGATGTCGCGCTGTGTGATGGACTGCTTCGAGAGTGGGACACGCGCGTCAGAGTGAAACTGTGAAGCGATGCAGTCCAACCCGTGTACAGTCCGAACCAAATATTATTGTATATAGTGTCGTCATATTTACATCGCCACCACGATTCAAGGTTGAAGAAAAACAACATGTAAGTCCTTTGGAATTTCATAACGTATATAATAATGATTATATTTTGCACTTCATGACAAAATACTCACAGTTGATTTTCATTTGTAAAACTTGCCCTTTTGTATATATGTAGAAAATTTTATTGTCTTTCAGGTTCTTTTTAGTTCATATTCCGATGTTGCATAGAACGGAAAATATGCATTTTTTTCTGAAAGTTTGCAATGTTAAAGACTTAGGGCCATTTAAATTCCGGCCGTAGGGAGCTGCAGGCAATTTAAAAGTCCGTACGTTAAAGGTTAATACTTCGACTTCAATTTTACAATTCTAACCACTGCCACCAACCAGTATCAAGTTCACCTGTGCATACAAATGCACAGGATGCTATGAAGAGCAGCAACAAGCATATACCTTGCCATCCTTTGTGTGAATGCCTTGACCAATACGGTAAATCTTCTTGTTCATCTCTGTACGATGGTGGTACCCCTTCTGACCAGCCCTGGCAACTGTGAAGGATACTCTACTAGGGTGCCAAGCTCCAATACAAGCAACCTTCCTCAGACCCTTGTGAGTCTTGCGCGGTAATTTCTTTGTATGCCAACGAGATGTTACACCTGAAATTGGTTTCAAGACCCGAGTACCTCAAAAGACTAATTACATTTAGTTTCCTTTTCTTTTGAAGATAAGGTATCACTTTAAAACAGTACACAGTAACAGTTCCAAACACTTCACAACAGCGAGAACTTCCGCTTAAGGTAGCTTTTGGGAACATTAAAACCACAAGTTAAAATTCACAAATGAAGGAACTGTTAACACAGATCACTGGAACATTAAAAATGATACACCTTGAATTGAGGAACATTAAACAGGGGGTCCAATGTAATTTTCTGACAAAGTTACTGAATATCACTACTGTGCATACATGCATAGGACAATTACAAGACAGGATGGATAGACAAGCCAGTGTCACACTATGAAGTTATCAACCATCGGGAATGCCTATGTAACATGGGATAAAAAAAAACAACCTTTGAAACATTGGTACCTACACCATGTACAGTCACATCCGAGGACCTTAATATTCATATGCACAGCTGTGAGAACCCAAGTCTTTGCTTAACAAATGACCATAAACATCTGAACAGCAACACATTATTGAGGTCATCACAGAATGGACATTTAAGAGCATTCTTTTAGGTCATGAAGCGTAGCTATGTGACGCCAATGTTTCAAAGCAACCTACTGCCCCATCTGAGCAGAAGTGTGTAGGTTTCTTCAAAACTTGGCTTATGTCCACTGGACTACACTGCATCACATCCTTGATGACAATGCCTCAATGTGATATGCTCCACCCTCTTTTAACATTCCACTGTTTCAACAGAATTATCTTCAAGTAATGCACATACAATATATTCAAAACCTCACTACAGCACCGGATGGCATTGTGTAGGGGATATCAGTAGGAAGGCAACATGGCTATCAACACAGCTTTATCAGAACCGCACCACTGTTCTTTCATCACATATCCACACTACATGCCATGCAATATGCATGCCTGTAAAAATATCAATTCTGTTCCATGTTAGTGAGTAGTATTCAATCTTTGGAAATGTAAAGCATAATTAGGACCATCTACTCTATGGTCAGGTACATAACATCTTATGTAGTCAAACTTATGGAAGCAAGTACTGTTAGTTCCTCGGAACTCTAGCCACGGTAGGAGTCATACCATCTCTCGCAGGGCTGGAGGAGCACTCTTATCAGCTTCTTGCTTGTTAGCTGGTACCAGTCGTAGCGGTTGTATTACGTGGTGTCTGTGTCACTATGACGCACAGACAATCGCACAGAACAATTCAGTGAGGCCAGGGAAGTAACAGCTAATGTTTTCTGCTCGGGGAGTAGCTATGAACATCACAGGCATACAGCTTTGCGAGCTCCACAACAGCGTTTACCTTTCCACACGGCTAAAGTTGCGAGGCACTAACTATACATTCAATTTTCAGTCAGCATAAGAATACGACAAAGTACGCTGCAAACAGAACCTAGTGACTTTCTAAAACAGCTAATGCCACAATGGCACCCTCATTCCCACAGAAGATGAGAGTTACACGTACCTTTGTAGCCTTTTCCTTTTGTCACTCCAATAACATCAATCATCTCATCAGGTCCAAACACTTGGGACACAGGAACTGGCTTCTCAAGATGCTCACGAGCCCACTGAACTTTCTGTTCAATGGTGCCTCCGTTCAGTTGAATCTCCATAATATGTGCCTTTTTCTGACGTTTCTTCAACAATTTCATCTAAAAAAAAAGCATATCCACATTAAGATTCTCAACTACAGCATGCACATTCATCTGTTCCTTGGTGATGAAATCTCTAACTGGACGGGACTGTTCCACCAGATAAAAAAATAAGCCACTACACACTGGCAAATGGCATAAACAGATTTTTCACTAAAAAGTAAATCACTATTTTATTTCTGTAATACTGGCTGGCACATCTCTTGTACTGACAATTTACCTTTATACAATTGCTTAATCTTTTTAACACGAAACACCATTCAGGTTATTCGATGTCATTTCAAATATTGCCAATTTTAGAAAATAACTTAAAACAACAAAAAAGCTATACATGTTCGAACATTTTTGGTTTTGCTTTACATCAGGCCACTCCATTTCATCCATATGAAGATTAAAATATGTTTTGCTATATGAATAGTGTAACAGGCATGGTTTTTCTCCCTGGTCACTGCCCAATGGACTACAGAAAGTTCATGGAATATGCCGTTCCTCCACTCATCCCTACTGACATAGGGGGCAGAGTTGCTCTCCGATACTGCAACTAGGACTATACTGCATAAAAGGCAGCTCCAGGGTTGCTATGGACTTTCAGCTCACTGGCAAACCAGGAACACAAAGCCCACGTATCGGTTTTGGTAACTTCAGAATGGTTGAAACAATAAGCAACGGCAGTTCAACGGAACTCTGCTAAAGATTTTTAATTTCACCCAACACAATGTCAACTATTATCTCAAAGAAATGTCCATACTTTGTACAAACTGCCACACCACATATCTCCTAAACATTTTGGAAATTGTACATAGCACAACAGGTACTGTCTTGTTGGCAGCTTTACGTTCTTCCGTTACCTTTACCCAACAATGAGTTCATTCACAATTAGGTTAATAGGTCAACTAATTGTAACTACTCTAACCTACATAATCACTTATGTCAAATAAAGTTTCATTTATTTACTCCACAATTATGCCAACTTACATGAACTGCAATACTGAAAACATGCACTTTAGTTAACCAGTCGCTCAGAGGGATGAAATGATTACAAAAATTCTTCACCTGTGTGTGTGCGATAACTCTGATGACCTTGCAGTATCGAACCAGCTTCCTGAAGTCTTTCTCGATTGATTTCTGACCAAGTTCATCCTGCCATTTCTTTGACGTCTTTGTGAAAGCCTTCTTCTTGGATTTGTACCTGTAAGTCAAAACAACATGGAGGCGGACGGGAACTGGGAGTTAGGTTTGGGCGTTAAAGAGGGTCGTCTCTTCTGTGAGCGGAGACGAAACACCTCAAATCCAGCCACAAATATGATGGTTTCTGGCATGGACCAATGGCTCTCATCTGAAGAGTGGAGAGCTGATATACATGCAATCAGTACTCAATAAAATGTTCCTATCACTCTTACGCCTGCTGAAACCATTACCTCAGACCGCCCTAGATAGTTTCTTCAACATTGATCAGAAATTTAACCATAAACATATCTAAATCATCATTGGTAGTGGATAATTTCCATCAATGAAAAGTTGAAAACCAGCATGGTGCAAGATCAGTCTGTAAAATGCTGAGTGAACCATTCAACACATTTTCCATGAATTACCCTATTCAGTATATGCACACTTTCATTCTTGTCTGGTGAAATGGGTGACATTTAATACTAGCAACCATCCTTCTTTGGTTACTGTCAACAAGATAACACACATAAAACTTATATAAAAGAAATAATTTTGTGGCCTACAGAAGTCAGATGACCATGTTAAAGGAGTGCTGGTCAGTAATGACATTTCAGCAATGACTTGGGCATGGCCAGCCATGTGTTTTACTCTGCACAACCCTCTTGGGCACATAGTGTAGTTGGTTGAGGCACAATGCTAGATGATTAAAGGTCATAGGTTCAAATCCTGAAGGTCATTGAATTTTTCAATTGACCCACCCCTTACAGCCAGACTATGGCCCTGGGGTAGACACAACCTCTTAACAGGAATGAGTGCACCGGGAATATTCCTGGGGGGCAAAGCGCAGCCAGTGCGTAAGACTGACAACCTCACTGCCATCTGCAAACAGTTCAGAAAATGTGGGAGCCTCAACACCCCACAACCCTGTGGGCCTTCACAGCCTACTACAGGGATAGCTTTACCTTTGAAACCCTCTTAGGAACAGATGGTGCATACCTTGTCAAATATTCAATTAATATAATTTCCAACTGATAAGTTCTGCCACTTCAAAGAAATACATTCCATATCAAACATGAACGGGTACAATTCACACTTAATTCAACATGCTGGCTTCCTATACCACGTTAAATAATGAAATACAATACAAAACACTTTACCAGTTCTTATAGAATCTGCGTCTACAATCCTCAGACAAATGCTCAGCCCACACAGTTTTCAAAGCACGCATCCCATGAGGGGTCTCAATGTAACCAACAACTCCAACTACCACCATTGGTGGGGTCTCCAAAATTGTCACAGCCTCCACAATCTCCTTCTTGTTTACCTCTGTAACACAAATCTACAAGTTGGCATCTTAGGCAGAAAATGAAAATTCAATCAGAATTACACTATCCCAAAATGAAAGATCAGCATATCTGGCACTACAGCTTCAAAGTTTCTGCCACAATTCTGAAACCTGTCTTTACTAGATTCTTTGTTGTGTGTTGTGTTCTCTGCAACGTCGCTTATCCAAGCTCAACGCATCAGTGAACATTTCTGAACTTCAAAAGAGGGCCGATGTGTCAATAGTCCAGACAGATCACAATGCCATTTCTCATTCTCCAGTTGCTCTCACACCAATTAGCGAGCTCCTGACACCATAAAAGTCCACTGAACTGTAAAGAAAACGTACACTATTCCCACGACCAAAGGTCACATATACACATCAAGACACTGTAGTGCCTTAAAGAGGAAAACAATTCACAATTTCTTGCAGGCTGCTACACACAGCAACATCCTGAAGATATACTACAGGCAATGCAGAACATGTTTCTCTTCTGAAATTTGCAAAATTGGTGATCCCACAGTTTCCAGCACCCACTTAGCAAAGAACCTACTTACCTATTCCTCTGCAAGACATGACCTCGCTTACACTATTTNATTCTGCTGCATGACCTACAGTCCCTCTTCAAGCTTCATTTCACACTGTACAACAGTTCCTACCAGTTCATAAAATTAAAATGGGAATTTCATGGAACAGCAAAGCTATGTATCATATGTGCAGTAGTCTATCCTCCATGTTCTGCACCACCACAACACATGTGTACATCTAAAAGTCAACATTTTAGCACAAAAATAGTTTATTCAAATCAGCATTTGAAATATCTTCATACATTTCTTCACCAATAAAACTGACAAGGCCATTCAGAAAGTAACCTCACTATTTTAGGCAACTAATGTAGCAGCAGGAGAGCCTGTACATGAGGTAGGGTCACAGGACTCATTGCCTTGTAAACCACCACATAACTGGCCACCTAATGTTTGTTCTTGTCTNCTAGAAAAGGCTACACAAAGGCCATTCAGAAAGTAACCTTACTATTTTAGGCAACTAATGTAGCAGGAGAGCCTGTACATGAGGTAGGGTCACAGGACTCATTGTCTTGTAAACCACCACATAACTGGCCACCTAATGTTTGTTCTTGTCTCTACAGTGAGTTGTGTCCTGTGACTGATAACACCAGCTGCTAAATTTGCACTGTTACTTCTTTCTTCACACTAAAAACACGGGTGCTGAATTATATGCAGCAGTTTAGGGCCAAATGTAATGAGCCTCTAAGGAAGTGTGTAGAATGTTCAAAGATGGGCAAACAAATGTACATGAAGAGCAAAGTGGTCGGCCATCTGTAGTGAGTGACCTTATTCAAAGTGTTAACCCAAAAATTTGTGAAAGACCATGATTCAGAATTTCTGAACTTTCATGCGAATTCCCACAAATTTCATGCACAGATCTTTACAGAGATTATCAGATAGGCTAGGCTATCACAAATTTCACGCACAGATCTCTACAGATTTTACAGGTAGATTAGGCTTCCAGAAGTTTTGTACAAGATGGGTTCCAAAAATGCTCATGTGTGCACAAAACGCAGGGAATAGCTTCAGCTTTGGCTTTCTTTACAGCGATACCACAAACATGGCAATGAATTTCTCAGTCACATGGAATGAGTAACGTGATGAAACCCGTTACTTGTGGATGCTGAAACTGAAGAGCAGCCAAAGTAGTGGATGCACATTCGCCAAACAAGCCAAAGAAGTTTACACAAACATCCGCTTGCCAGAAAACTGATGGCAACTGTTTTCTGGAACAGGAAATGAGTGCTGATGGTGGAATTAAAGCAACAAGGGGCCAGTTACACCAGAAGTGAACTGCATGCAAAACACTAAAAAAACTGTACAGCTATTCAGAGCAAAAGGCATTGAATGCCGACATCCATCATAGTGATCCTCCATGACAATGAGCAAACATACAGCTGCTCATACTGGTGCACTACTGGAGCATTTCAACTGGGCGTTGTTTGACCACTCCTTAGCCTTGATCTCGTTCTGAGCCAACTACCAGCTCCTTCCCTGCTTGAAGAACTGGTTGACAGCACTTCAACAATAATGAGTTGATGGAAGGTGTAGAAACATGGCTGAGCTTGAAGGAAGCACACGTCTTTGACGCTTGCAAAAAAAAGAAATGTATTCCCAATATGATACATGCTTCAATTCCAGCACCGACTACGCTGAAAAGTAGATGTGTATATATACATATATATTTTGTTTTTTCTCACTGCATGTTTTATTAACAGCTCATAGAGGTTACTTTCCTAATAGCACTCATTATGTCATGTAATTCAGCCCAAATAAATACAAACTTTTGTTGTGCTATATGAATAGTGTAACAGGCATGGTTTTTCTCCCTGGTCACTGCCCAATGGACTACAGAAAGTTCATGGAATATGCCGTTCCTCCACTCATCCCTACTGACATAGGGGGCAGAGTTGCTCTCCGATACTGCAACTAGGACTATACTGCATAAAAGGCAGCTCCAGGGTTGCTATGGACTTTCAGCTCACTGGCAAACCAGGAACATAAAGCCCATGTATCAGCTCTGATGACTTCTAACTATGAATTGATGTCCAATGAACAAAAGCAGTTCAATCTAACACTGATCAAGATTTTTAATTCCATTTAACCCACTGTGATGTACAATCTGCAAGACATGGTCAGCCATTATCAACAGCCATACATCCCTGCGGCATCTCAACTTCACCCGTATTAAACGCTTAACTACTTGATGGTCAATAGTAGAGTGAATTTACTTACCGTCTACACAACACGTTTTTATTATCACATTATCACTACATGTTTCGACCTTAAGAGGTCATCTTCAGGTGTATGAACACGGCTTTATTACACGCGGTCACATTCACTTTTCACTCATTCGACCTTGTATCTTTTTCAGACTTACGCTCACTAATATATCAAGTTCTATTTATAAAACACAGGTTAAAACTATTATTCTAATTTACTATACCTAGAAAAGGAAAGATGTTGAACACACTAGAAAGCTTCCACATATATGAATTAACTAAGAAAAATCTACAAATGAATGAAGCTTAACTGATAGCTATAACCCAATTTATGATATCTTAATAAAAACAAAATCAGCAAGAACTATAATATATCCCAGAACCACCTACACATCTTCACAGAACACCACCCCTACCCCACAGCCCACCCCCCACTAATACCACACAGGAACCAACTGAACAAGCAAGACACGTCAGTACCCATCACGACAACGATCGTAACAGATCCAGCAACATCAAAGAACGCGGAAGAACAGTAAGACCTCACAAACAAGTGAAAGTGTGACCAATAACATAACTTGAACCTCAATTCACGAACTTTTAACAATAATAATAATTAAACTAGCTTTTAAAAGAACTAGATACAGTTGTGAAAGTAAAATGAGACCAAAAAACAAGTGAAAGTGTAACCAGTGACATGAATTGAACCTCGATTCACGCACTTTTACTTAGAATTATAATTTTAACCTGTGTTTTATAAATAGAACTCGATATATTAGTAAGTCTGAAAACATACAAGGTCGAATGAGTGAAAAGTGAATGTGACTGCGTGTAATAATAGTCATGTTCATACACCTGAAGATGACCTCTTAATGTCGAAACACATAGTGATAATGTGATAACAAAACACATGTCGTGTAGACCGTAAGTTCACTCTACTATTGATTAAACACACAACAGGATGCAAGAAACGATTAAAACTGCTTGGATAGTCTTTTCATGAGTAAGAAAAGCATATTGCTTATTAATATACACCAAACAAGATATGAATTTCCCATATAAATGTAACTTCAATGGGGTAAGAGACAACCTCAATTCATACTAAACCAACAGCTCAAACAGTTTTTAAATTTCCATACAGAACTCCCTACAACCGAACATTCTGTAATCTTCCTGCATCAATAACCACAAAATGCTAAATTTGTAATAATGGTACAAAGGATTAACAGTTCATCACAAGAGGTTAGGCTCCTTTACATATATCGGTGTAATTCCAAGATGGGATAGGACATTATGTAAGGAATCAGTTAACCCTTTCCAGTCAAAGGTTGATATATTATCAACTAAGTTTGTTTTATATTTCTGCAGTCATATTTTGAGCATATGTCAATAGTTGGCCCTGTAGACTATCCCAACATATGCTTGAATCTTTTGTCTGCCTCCTTCTTCCATCTGGAAGTCATAATTTGAACTTCTTGAGGAATGAATGCCATTTATACATTATGCCATGTCACATGTTACTAGCATGCTTTTACATCAAGAGGCCCTCTAGATTGAAGAAACTAGATATAATACCTTGTGTGGTGCAGATGAAGGATCTAGTAATGAAAAACTCAATATTGACTATCATGAGATTAATTTGGAAATTGAAGGACAAACTGTGAGTGAAGAATCAAGCAACAAAATGTCAGAGCGAAATAAGTGTTGTTGCATGTTGATGCACATGACAATGGGCAATGGTGCTGGTTGGGAAATGATGCAACTGAATAAAGCAATTTCCAAAAAATTCTATGCTAGGTAATGATGCAACAGAATAAAGCAATTTCCAAAAAATTCTATGCTAGGTAATAACACTGTAATAGATGAATCAACAGTTGGGTTCAAGCGCCAAAGTGGGGAAACAGATTTGCATTGACTGGAAGTGACACTCATGTTCACAGTGTAATTCCAAATTATTGAAAACTGACAGGCATTGTGTTAACTTACCATGCTCTGAAAAACCGTTCATTTCAAGAATAGTTCTTTCCTTGATATACTCAGTGCGCCTGGTATTGAATACTACCCCCATTTCACTGACATATTATAGCAGTGCTGCCCAAGAATTTGACCATCAAAAATGTCAAGTACACTACAACTTTATATGCCCTTCTTGCACAAACTTTTCATGCAAAATAGTTCACTTAATGGCTCGGCAGGCATCTAAAAACCCGACAGCTCAGCTATGGAGATTTCTCTAAACGCAACAACTGGAAAGGGTTAAGTAACATTTAAAAACACGACATGATTGATGGTTATGCCTACAATAGAGCTGACCAGTCCATAAACAACTCGGAGAAACTATGTCCTATTTTAGCACCCTGTTGCACTGATTCACATTCATAATGTGTATGTATTAACAGTCTTCAAGTGCATACAATCCCATTTACCACTTCTACACTACATGTTTTGGCAGTATGCTGCCATCTTCAGGTGTATCGATCAGTCAACTATTTCACTGCTTGCCTTTATATGTAATTTACAAATATTAAATATATATACAGTAGAACTTGGTTATAACGTCATCAAAGGGACCTAAAAATAGTGTCGTTATAAACGAACGTCGTCGTAACCGAAATGNTACTCACCAAATTACAGTAGATTACATCAATTGTTGTGCCTTACTGTACCTAGATACGAGTACAGTAATCAGTTATCTTCATCTGTTTCCTGTTACTTGCCCAATACACACTTTCTAAATTACGTTCAATGTCCATATCAGAGAAATTCAGGAATGAAAATGACGTTACATACGAGGTTGATGCATTTGTGCATGTCGTACTAAGCAAGGCATAAAAACAGTTGCTTTATGAGGAATTAGTTCGTACCATTGAATATTTGACGCAATAGACAAGGTGTCGCAGAAACTGAAGTTGCTATAACCAAGTTTTACTGTGTATATATATATATATATAAGGACATATACAAATTTAATATTATTTGTAAACGACATATAAAGGCAAGCAGTGAAATAGTCAACGGAGCGATACACCTGAAGATGGCAGCATACTGCCGAAACATGTAGTGTAGAAGTGGTAGATGGGATTGTATGCACTTGAAGACTTAATATATACAAATTATGAAACTCAGAGAAAATTAATGAATACATTTTTAAACAAAAGTGTAAAAAGGATAACTGGGAAAAAATTTCAATAAAGGCTATGGCCGGAATTTGTCTACAGGCAGCGAGGAAAATGACACATGCATTAGCGAGCAGTGCCACTAGCCATGTTTCAGGACAAATACTTCGCAAAATTCTGACACATTACGGCTCAAGATCCTTTTAGATGGAGACAGTAAGAATATGAAATGCTGGCAATATGGCTCTCTTTTTAAGTCACCAAAATACAGGACCAACACCACATTATCAACCCTATATATGCATATGCACCTATACTGTTAAAAACCAGATCTACACTGAATTCCCACCTAAGCATTTAAGTTATAGGATGGACCAGATAGTACAGAACCTAAGTCAAATTCATTACAATTTTTGGCCCCAAAATATAGCTGACTGCAACTATTGCACTGAGCCTGTGAAGCCAAATATGAACATGGAGACAAATATGGCAGATATTAAATCAATACAGGGAAAGTTAACATGTCCATGACAAATATTCCCATTCATCATTCCCTATTAAGATTTATTTTTTTACTTTAGTAATATTACTATGGAGTGAAGAAATGGTAACTGTCTTGCAATGTGACACTGTGGGCACCAACATTTTCGAGAGGCCTGCAGCCTCCACTTTCTACATTGTAGATGCAATCTATCTACCACACTGAAGAGTCACATCGAAGAAGACAGTAATATTGTCACCATTTGCATTATGTGCAACAAAATGGCCACAGCCCAAAGGACTATACAAATCACTGACGTGCCTATTTTCCACTCCACTCACGGGGCAAAATTACTTTACTTCCTAACAAGGACTAAATTATACAAAATGAAGAACCCACAGTGCACCAGGCTAAGGCCAACTGAACCAAACAAAAACTTGACCACCATTACTTTCGAAATACTTATCCCACTTACTTGATCCAGGTCTATCTGCTTCACGAACCACATGGGTCATTCCTGCTTTATAACCAATAAATGCAGTCAAATGGACAGGCTTTGATGGATCATCTTTCGGGAAAGCCTTCACTTTACCACGATGTCTTTGGGCCCGTTTCTTGGGATAGAATCCCATGGATCCATGACGGGGGGCGCTGAATTTTCGGTGAGACTAGAAATTAGAATGACTTCGTAACACTAAGCGTCCTTACAAAACAGGAAATGCTATTTCTCAAAATGCCGTCATGCCCAATTCTCAACCATATTACTTTGTGCCACATGCTCCTAAATATGAACCTAGGGCAAAAAAAGAACGGTAACAAGCTGCTCTTCTGCCATAAGTGACCGTTATCTTTCTTGCCTATTACAGTAACCTATGGTTGAAAAGGCTGTCACAAACTACCTCTCTGCAATATCCCTACTACCGAAACCTCTCATTCTAGGCCATGTGCTCCAGGATATTACATTAACCTACAGCTGAAAACGCGTTACACATAATCTAGCCATGCTCTAACCGCCATACTTGGCCCTTTACTACGCCACGTGTCACTCAGTACAACCTCCTTTTGCTTCTCATGTCCTAAATCTATAAACGAATTTGGTAATCGTTTAAATTTATCATACTCTATTTGTAATCGTTTAACAGGCTGTGTTCAACGAACTCTAATATAAACCCTTATGGACAACTGCCCGTTTCCAACCTAAGACCCACTGCAATAAAACCTATTTTCGAAATATGAGGCATTAAATATTAACAGGATATTACATTAACCTGCAGCTGAAAACGTGTTACACGTAATCTACCCATGCTCTAACCGCCATACTTGGCCCCTTACCACGCCACGTGTAACTCAGTACCCCCTCCCTTTGCTTCTCATGTCCGAAATCTATAAACGAATTTGGTAATCGTTTAAATTTATCATACTCTTAACGAATTTTGTAATCGCTTAACAGGCTGTGCTCAACGAACTCAATTATAAACCCTTATGAACTGCCCGTTTCCAACTTAAGACCTACTGCAATGCAACCTATTACGAAGTTTTTTTCGAAACACTAAGCATTAAATATTAAACTTCAGCGAATCCTAGACATCACTATCAACATAATGCACCTACAGAACACTCCGGAACAGCTTCAGGGGAGGAAAAATTTGCTAACTTCGCCACTTGCGGAAACCGTACCACTAGTAAAATTACGAATTATGAAATATAGCTCTACTATTTACTGCGGCACAATAAATCGTTACTATAAATTCGAAATAACTATCATAACATATTTAATGAAATACATGATTGAAACGGATACGTCCACAGACACAACTTACCATAGCGACGTACAAAGGAGAAAGATCTTCGTCCTGCTTCTGCCACGTATAAACTACATGCAGATATGTAACTCAATGCTATTGGCGGCCGCCGCATGACGTCATGTTTCTTCTGAGCGCAGCCATCGACGACATGGAGGCCATGGATCACTGATGGTCGGCCTCAATCGCAGGTAGGTAGCGTAGGTACGCTGTGGTGATCCGTGGCCACAACTTCGAATTTTTCTTCCATGTAGGGGCCTGAAAGCGATCAATAAGTGTTAATATTTCGACAATGAGAATAATATTGGCCTGTACGGTTAATACTTATGTAACTGTCAATACAAAATGTTGACGAAACCTTGATCGATCAGTTTCAAAACACAGTCACAGGAGCAAGACACAACACAAAGCACAATACACACATGAAAATAGGAAGAATACTCCGATAGAAGAAGATAGGTGTGACTTGCGTATTGAGATACGACATAAGGATGACAAATCCTGAATAGTTTTAATATTTAAAATTTATCATTATATATGACGAATATATATTTTAGTTATTTTAATAGTTGGACGAGAAGTCCTATGCGGTGCGGATGTGTATATGTCGTTGCTCCGAAGAGCAGTGTTTGTAGTTACGTAGACTTAAAGTCTAAGTGGGCATAGTGAGTGAATCATTACGTGAACTATATATCGGGGTGTTCAATCTTGTTTATATTCTCGATAATCCATGATAAAAGTGGAACAATCCTCTAGTGCATAGTACTATATAAGTGCATGGCCTATGCCCACAACTATATACATTCACCACCATCAAACATTAATGATTACACAGATCAAAATATACCATCTTCATATATAAACATGCCGATACTCACATCATACACGCAGCCGCCTGCAACTCAACAAGGAGTCTCTCAGAATCCCATCATGTATTGTAGTCAACCTCAACAGAACGTGCAAATGACCAGCCAAATGCAGTATTATAATCACAATTTTCCAGCTCTACCCAAACAAGGAAACGACTGGCAAACTGTTCCACGCGCCAGGAAGAGAGCGAGAGATCATGAAGTGAACGACTACTGGCTCGGAGAGGCAGTGTCAACTAGTAACAGGTACCGTGCCCTCTCAGAAGAAGAAATGGACTCAGTACAAGAAGACAGTTCAAAAACCAGGGAACCTAAACCCCCTCCTATATTCATCGCAGGTATTAAAAACATCAAAACTCTGAGTTCATCATACACGCAGCCCCCTGCAACTCAACAAGGTGTCTCTCAGAATCCCATCATGTATTGTAGTCAACCTCAACAGAACGTTCAAATGACCAGCCAAATGCAGTATTATAATCACAATTTTCCAGCTCTACCCAAACAAGGAAACGACTGGCAAACTGTTCCACGCGCCAGGAAGAGAGCGAGAGATCATGAAGTGAACGACTACTGGCTCGGAGAGGCAGTGTCAACTAGTAACAGGTACCGTGCCCTCTCAGAAGAAGAAATGGACTCAGTACAAGAAGACAGTTCAAAAACCAGGGAACCTAAACCCCCTCCTATATTCATCGCAGGTGTCAAAAACATCAAACCTCTAATCGAATTACTTGATGAGATAGCAAATCAAAAATATAACATCAAAACTCTGAGCTCTGATCAAGTCAAAGTACAGCCCTTAGAAAGTACAGTTTACAGTACGATCCTAAAATCCCTAATTGACAAAAAAACTGAATTTTACTCATATAAACCAAAACAAGATAGAAGCTTTAGAGTAGTCTTAAAAAATGTCCATCCGACAACAGACTTAAATGAGATTAAAACTAGTATTGAATCAAAAGGCCATGAAGTTACCGACATCTGGAACGTAAAACAAAGAAAGACTAAAAATCCTTTAACAATATTCTATGTGGACCTAAAGCCGAAGGCTAATAATAAGGAAATATATAAAATAAAGTTACTCATGAATACTTGTGTCCAATTTGAAGCACCATATGCTAAACGAGAGATACCTCAGTGCACGAGATGCCAAAGATATGGCCACACAAAGAATTATTGCTATAACAACCCTCGATGCGTTAAATGCGCAGAAAATCATTTGACCAGTGATTGTCCCAGGAAAACAAGAGACGAAGAGGTCCGCTGCGTAAACTGTAACGAGCATCACCCTGCAAACTATAGGGGATGCATGATACACAAACAGCTGCAGCAAAAGATATACCCAGCGATGCGAGAACGAATAAAATCACCAACAAAAACTACACTACAGGGAGCAACATTTGCCCAAGTTCTTAAACAACATATACAACCCACACAAACGATCCCTGAAGTCAATCAATACAATGCCTCAGTAATGACACAACCAGCCACTGAACTGGCAGAACTAACTCAAATGATGAAAAAGCTAATGGAACAGTTGGGCACAATGTTAAACCTTCTCACAACGCTCATAACTAAAATTGCTTAATGGCGGTACAAATTCTCCAAATCGGAGTGTGGAATGCCAATGGGCTGTCACAACACGCACAGGAACTCAAAATATTCTTACAAAACAACTGCATTGACATCATGCTGATTTCTGAAGCACACTTCACTGACAGGACTCATCTCAAATTACCAAACTACAATATATATCATACACAACACCCAGATGGCACTGCAGACGCAGGCACTGCAGTAATTATCAGAAGAAACATTCAGCACTACGAAAGAATGGAGTACAAACAAGAAAATATTCAAGCTACCAGTGTAACCGTTCAAAACTATGCCGGTGATCTAACCTTCTCTGCAATCTATTGCCCACCAAAACATAATAACAACCGTAAGGACTATGAAAAATTCTTCAGAACACTGGGCAATAGGTTTATAGTAGCTGGTGATTTTAACGCCAAGCATACAGCGTGGGGATCACGAATCACTAATACTAAAGGGAGAGAGCTGCTGACCGCTCTGGGAAACAATAACCTAAGTTATTTATCCACGGGGCAACCGACATACTGGCCCACTGACACCAAGAAAATACCAGATCTGCTCGATTTCTGTGTAATCAAAGGAATCCAGATGAAACGATTCTCGATAGAATCATCCTTAGACCTTTCCTCAGATCACACCCCACTTCTAGTAACCCTCTATTCACACATAATTGAAAAAGAAAAAGGGCCGTCACTGTATAACAAGCGTACAAACTGGAATTATTTCAGAGAAAAATTGGACGAAATAATTGCTATAGATATTCCACTAAAAACTGCAATGGATATTGAAACAGCAGTTGAAAACCTAACTAAAGCCATTCAAACTGCAGCATGGCATGCTACACCTATCCAACAGCACACCCATTACAAGGAGGAATGTCCAGTTATTGTAAAACAAAAGATAGCTGAAAAAAGAAAAGCAAGAAAAAGGTGGCAGTTAACACGAGCACAGCCGGACAAACAAAAGCTTAATAAACTTACAAAAGACCTTAAAAGCTTGCTACAGAAACTAAAAGATGATTCCGTACAGACGTATCTGGCTGGTTTAACTGCCACCACGGCAACAGATTATTCGCTATGGAAGGCAACNAAGAAGCGATGAACAAAAGGCCATGGCATTTGCCAAGCATTTGCAAAATGTATTTCTCCCCAATGACATCGAAAGTACCCTAAAAGACCAGCAGGCAATCAATAGGGTCCTTGCAGCACCACATCAGATGGCCCCACCCATAAAAAAAATTCAAAATTAAAGAAGTCAGACAAGTCATACAAAAAGAAATCAACGCAAATAAAGCGCCTGGGTATGACATAACTACAGGGAAGGTCCTACAGGAAGTCTCTGAAAAGTGTTTTCACGTAATCACGATGATTTTTAATTCAGTGTTGAGAGTGGAGCACTTCCCCATTCAATGGAAAATAGTGCAAATCATCATGGTTCCTAAACCGGCAAAAAATCCCAGAGAGATTGCATTGTATAGACCTATAAGTCTTCTACCAGTCCTTTCAAAAGTCTTAGAAAAACTCTTGCTGAAATGCCTCATACCAATCTTAGAAGAACAGAAATTAATACCAAGCCATCCGTTTGGTTTCAGAAGCAAGCACGGTACTAGTGAACAGGTACATAGAGTAGTGAAAGAAGCCTCCATTGCCCTAGAAGAAAAGAAGTTCTGTACAGCAGCCTTTCTCGATATTAGCCAAGCATTTGACAAGGTGTGGCACCAGGGACTCTGTTACAAACTAAAGTCAAATCTGCCCCATAATATGTTCTCCATCTTAAAATCTTACCTTACGCAAAGATATTTCTTCGTCAAACATGAAGATTTCTACACTGAAATCTACCCTATACTAGCTGGGGTACCTCAAGGCAGCGTACTAGGCCCGCTACTATACCTCCTTTACACTGCAGACCTACCTACTACCGAAATGACCATGACTGCAACATATGCTGATGACACCGCTGTTTTAGCAACCCATACGGATCCTGCTACGGCATCTAGATGTCTTCAAGAAAACCTACATGACATGCAAAAATGGCTAAGAAAGTGGAAGATCAAAGTCAATGAGAGCAAATCGGTCCAGGTAACATTTACTATGAAAAAAGGACAATGCCCGCCAGTTACACTAAATGACTCACAACTACCACAAGCAGATGAAGCCAAGTATCTTGGCATACATTTAGATCGCCGGCTAACATGGCGGAAACATATCTTCAGCAAAAGAAAACAATTGGGCCTGAAAACTAGGCAATTGTACTGGATAATCGGACGAAGATCACAACTATCTCTTAATAGCAAACTCCTACTCTACAAGGCAATACTCAAACCTATATGGACGTATGGAACATCACTGTGGGGAACAGCCAGCAATTCAAACCTGGAAATACTACAACGATTTCAGAACAAGATTCTCAGAGAAATAGTTGATGCGCCCTGGTATGTGCCCAATACAGTGTTACATAAGGACTTAAGTGTATCTACAGTGCGAGAAGAAATTAAAAAGTGTAGTGCTAAGTACAGTCGGAGACTACAAGTACATCCAAACGAACTCGCAGCCTCACTACTAACCCATGAAGATGAAGTTAGGAGATTAAAAAGATTCAAGCCGTCAGACCTATCTGATAGATTTAGCTAGTTTTAAGTGTATACATGCCACAAATCTTAAG